AAATCATCCCTATCAAAGTCCACGGTGAGCAGACGTTTTATTGACTTTTATATTTCGGTCTAGTTCTAATATGCTGTAATGAATCTAGGGTGATTGTGATTTCCAACAACTTCCAATCAAATGATATTGTTGATAACCCTACCTAGAAGTTTCCCCAGTTTATATATGGTGAATTGAAGTAGCCTATTGTAAAGCTTTTAGCCCCATTACACTGGGACTGAGGTTTGTGTAGAAGGGAGTCATCTACTACGAATTATGGACTGAGGTGCACTACAACCAACTCAATAACTTACCATTTAAATTTCGGTCTGCGGTTTTCCAGTTCACATGTCCCTGAGTCATGTGCACTGTCTCGAGAGTTTGTATGGTTAAGGTACTCTTCGTGTATAGGATAACCCCACTTCTGCTACGGTTTCATCTATCAGCTCCACTGGGAAGCTCACCAATCAATTGAATTCCACTATCACACACTTTCGATGTTGATCATATTTGGGAGATGACATCAGAGTTTTCTATGTCTATCATTGTCTTGAGCACCGCCATTTTGTTTTGCAGGCAGCAGGTATTTGTATAGCACACCTTCAATTCTGTGAAATGCTTTCTTTTATCACTCAAATTGTTATGAGGACCATTTTGCTCTGAATTTGTACAATGAGAAGACCCTGAAATAAAAAGTTTTTATTACCGTTCGGGTTGAGCTCGTTTAGTTCTACATTTGTCATTCGTCTCTCAATACGATCGGTTAGCCTGAGATCCTTATGGATATATATTGCGGATCCAGTCAGTTTGCGCGAGTTGTCCAGCATTCGGTTTCTTTCTTCAACCAAAGTAGAGGTGACTGTCAAGAGTCAGCATTTCTATGTACATACAGAATCCACTTTTTGTCCAATTCTATAAAATTTACAGATGCTAACTGTTGATACTGCTTCTGGAAGTGGCTTGCCTATTAAGAACTTAATTGTGGCTTAGGTCATGTTGAGATCTAGCCTTTGGTTACTTTTCGGAAAATTCTCTTAACTTATGAAGGATGACTGGCCTGCCAGATTAGTCCTGCCTATAATTTAATTTTTTTTGGATCAGGCTTGGTTTATGAGTGTATAGTAATTTTGTTACCATAAGTAGTACTAGGAGATCCTGGGTGGAAAGACACCTAAATTTTGTTTTGTTCTTTTTAAATAAGATTGGTAAAAACTCAGGTTAAAGGTGGAACAAGTGATTGTAGATTGAAATTTTCAGTATAATCCATCATAATACACGGAATCTTGCGGGATGTTGAGTTCTTTTGAGTTCTGTTTTAGAAAAAAAGGCTACCGCCTTTTCACTTCGTGTTGGAAATTCGGCAACTTAGTTATTCTAACGTAAAAAAGTTCACACGAGTTTTAAAAGGTTTTTCGTGTACTGTCCCAAGTAGATATCCTACTATGTGATGCTTAAGGTCGAATCATGGGTGGTAAATTGAGTTAAAAATAACCGAGTGAAATGAAACATCCTAATCATATATCATATATCCCTTCATGTTGGGTTCACGATATTTGTGGTAAAATCTGACCAAGGTCAGTCTGGACTCATTTTAAGTGCGTTTGCTTTCTGGAATAATTCTTTTAGATAATCCGCTACACCTGATAAATAGATATTAAATTCTGATACAAAGTGTTTATGGGATAGATTTCGTTAACCGAGTCACAGCACTAAACAATTTCAGATCTATGTATGCACATTCTGGGAGTGATAATACACTTACATGCGTTGAGAGATATTGATTGGATTTTGATTGCGAAAGAGTAATCAAGAAAATAAAACAGCATTTCGTCACGATTGACACTTTTGTAGTAAGTGGTTGACTCGCATTAAACAATATACTGTTACATGATGAACAGTCGCCTTAGTAACATCTTACCATTAACATCTGTTTTTTTTACAATGGAATTTCTCTCCTATCAATTATTGTAAAGATGCCGCAGGTATTCGTGGTCTGATAACGCCTTTGCACTTAAGAATCTTATAATCGAAGTACGCCAACCCAGTCAAATCAAAAGTCAGAAACGAAGAAGTTTGAAGATATATTTAGAAGACCATCTATATATCGGGAAGGGTTTTGTCTAATTTGGCCAACGATCGTAAGAGATGAGTATCATGGCGTACTCACTCGTGATATGGTGTGGATGCATGACCTAGAGCCTTAGCTAGGTGTGTCCCAGTGAGCTAATCAGGCCAGTATCAATGCCAAAGACTTGCAGAACTATTTAGTTTAGGGATTTATTTACCGCTACAGTGGCCTTTATTGTTTTCCTTCCTGATACGATACTTGAAGATCTTTGAGTTCAAGACTATTCAATTTTGTCGTAACAAGAATCCCAGCATAGTTTATGCTTCTAACCTCGTATTTCTTCTTTGTTAACTTCAGTTTCCCAGTCTCGATATGCAGTAGCTCACTGAAGAAGTCTACTTTTATTCTAATATCTTACAACGCCAAACTGATTGCCTGTCTAGTTTCTTGCAAGTAAAGCTAACTAACTGCATAAGTTGGGAAATATTCTTAACTTCTGGAAACAACAAACTAGCCAAGAGATTAGGACTTATTATCTTATGTGAACAATCAGTAAAAATATACATTAAGTATGCAAAGTTGAACGATGTTTATACTTTTATTCAGGCCCAACTATATGGTTTCACTTCCTCACATGATTATGCGATAATTGAAAGTATTCGAATTATTGTACTAACCAAGAATTCCGAAATAGTTCAATTTAAAACAAATAGAACTAAGTGAGCACAAACGCACGTATTGTCTTTAAAAATCGAGATCGACCGGCAGTTAGGCACAAAATAATCATTACTTCATACAAACGCTGTAGATTACCTCCCCATGAGGCTAGTAATATAGGATGGTGGTTGGAGGTAGTCGACAGGAAACCTTGAACCTAGGCTTCATGCTATTTGGCTCTCGTCAGCAACGTGTAACTGTAATCTTGATGGAACTGATGCTAGTTGATGGATTTGACCACGTGACATCCAGCCTCACAGTCAGAGACGTTACCACTGAGCTATGCGGGCTGTAACTGACCTCCTGTAGGGCTGAAATGTATTTAAAATTGATTGACAACTAGATAGTGACCAATAAATCTCAATATTTATACCTTCCATAACACTTGTTCATAAGAAAAAATTTTGATATATGGTAGGATGACTAATTCACGATCAAGCTCACACTTATTTTCTGTCAACCTCCAACCCTTCACAACTCTTCAACTATTAGTATTATTCTATCAAAAGGCTGTGCCAATGCACCTAACTCTTGATTTGACCCAATGTTAATCTGTGCTAACTCCCCCGTCATAAGTTTTAATATACACTGGTCTTTAGTACTCAGAAATGTTACACGATTTTAGTAAGACTGTGGTATACCTCAACTGTTGGAAATGTCAGTACTTTAAGAAACATAAATGAGAAGTTTTATTAATTGGCTGATTATTACTCTGTCATTATCTTTGATTTTATTCTTAGTGGTCATATTTTGTAGTTAAATACGATCATCATGAATCTTAAGCACTTAAATGACGTCCATCGCTAGGTGAAACTTTCTTAATTAACAACATTTATATATAATTGAAGATCTTTGAGAGACAACGAGATTCATTTTTCATTGATATTCCGTAAAAAGTCGAGATAGTTTTCAATAAAACCTTAAAACTAGTTAATGAAATTATCTTCAATTAATTATGAGACATTATCAAAATAATTTTCTTTAGAATCCTTAATAAACTATGTATATCATTTCTTCACTAAAAAAAATAATAAATGAGTAAATATATTGATCCATAGTGATAAATCTTTTATTCTTTTTTAAAAAAAATCATACAACAACAACAAAAGCAGAGGTTTTTTCGGTTAAATTTCTATTGAGCACAAATTATACAGAATAGTTTTGATGCCGGTATTTTCTTTCAACGGTTTTTTGTTTGTTTGTTTGAAAAATTAAAGTAAACTACTCAACAACTATATTACTCTTTTATTTAATATAAATACTATTAACTTGAGAAAGTGAAACCATTGAGATGTTAAATCTGTTTGCAATAAGTAAACCATAAGATGAATTACAATTATTATGAAATTTATTAGTACTTTATAAAAACATTCATACATATCTGATCATTAAAAAAGAAGGGATACATTGAATAAATAAATACATTTAATTAAGAAGAAGTCATTAAAGGCAAACAATTAAATAACAGATACATCATACGTAAAGAAAGTGAAAAGTAAAGAAAAAAGTACATTTCAATTCAATTTAAATAATATCAAATATGATTTTTGTTTCTATTTTCAATTCTTTTTTTAAAAAAAAACGAACTGTTTCCATATTAAAATGAAATATTTAGAAGAAAATTTAAAAAAAATAGGATAGTTTCATGAGTATGTCAGTCAATCAGTCAATCAGTCAGTCAACAACGTAGAACTTCGTACGTACATACATCAGTTCAAGTTGTCATATCACATTAACACAAAGATACAATTTTGGATGCAAATCCCATAATGGTAATAATAATAATAATAATGAAAAAAATTATTGTTCATTAAAATATCAACACTTTTCAATAGTAAGAAATAAACGTACAATGATTAATGAAAATGTTAAATGTTGAATATTTAATAGAATTTTATGTTTACAATAACATTAGATACAGATTACTATTCATTTTTTGATTTATACATAATACAACGAAATAAGAAATCAATATTTGAGTTATAATTTTAAAAAAAAGTCTCTGAGGTTTTTTTTTCTTCTTTCTTTCTTTCATAAAATGGCAACACCTTCGAAGTAATACATGTTTTGTATGTGGTTGAGATTACTTTTTGATAAAAATTGTTCTCCACAGAACATCAGTAAAAAAATATTTATGAAACGCAAATATGGTATGTGTTCATAAGATGTAAGAGATTTCCAATCAAATAAGTATTTCTATTCATTGTTTAGTAATAAATATAAAAAACAACAACATTTAAATACATTTAACCATACCAATTTCTGTACCACAGAATGGACATTCATGTTTAACATCTTTACAACAATTTGTAAAGAATGGTATCAGAAAACAGCCTAGAACTCCACTGTTTTATTCAATGATTATTGAAATAAGAGAAGGTAAAAAAATCAATATTTAATGTTATTGAATGATATATTTGTTAACTAAAATTTATATCAACTGATATCATAAGAACAAACATTATGTGATATCTAAATGGATAAAATTTGACTAAGTTCTTGATTAACTATGAAGAAAAATCAAAACGTTCTGAGGAACTGTCATGGTATATAAGTAACTAAAATGTCTAACAAATTCTTAATTAGTTAGCATTTCATAAATGACTGTGTTGAATCGGCTTTCGGAGAACTTCAACGAAGCCTCCAGAGACCCAAAAGGAGCCGAAGAGTCCTAGCCAATCAGAGGATGATGGAGCATTCTAGAATTCCAACGTAGCATGCTACTATTGGTCGGTAGCATAATATGTCGTTAAAGGATTGGCCGAAATATGATGTCGATTTAACAAACGTTAACATCTATAAATACCCATGTTTTTCTGTACAAAAACTAAACTTGGAGTAAAGTATTTCTCTCTTACTTTGCGTCTTCTCTCTGGTGTTCAGGTCGCTGTGTAGTTCTAACTTGAGGGTTACCAGAATAGCTTAGAAAACGAATATAGCGTTCAATTCTCAAGACTTATCAGACTGGTTGCTAAAACATCTGAACCATTTAATATAGATCTATTGTTATACAAATTTTTATTTTAGATATTTTTCAATTCACTAATTGTGCCTGTCAGCCGGAAAAACTTAAGAACCTTCATAAAATTCTAGTAGGCTATAGCAGATACAATTACTGAGGAAATTTAAAAGAATCAAAGAGATAGTTTGTACATTTAACACCTATAATATATGAAGAAATGACAGGCGATTAAATATGTATTACAATAGAAAATAATGTTATGGAAACATAACCATTCTTAAGCATTTGTGGGTGAGTGAATATGAATGATTGATAATGAATGATTAGAAACCTTTTATGCTCACTTTTTGGATATACATAAGTTGAATGATTAAAAATGGGAATATTGTTAAAATACTTCATCTATTTTGCCAAGAACTCTCTATTTTAAGTAAACATATGGTACTGAATAAAATGGTCATCATTTTGTTAGTAACATCTCCAGTTCTTAATATCTGTGGTGATTGAAGATCGAAAGATTAGCCGATTAACAAATTTTTGGTTTTGTACAACATTCCCATCACATTTAAATCACATTTAATGTTGTTACTTTCCAGAAGACAAACTAAAGCCATTTAAGACATCACTAGTAATCGACCTCAAATAAAAGTAATTCAACTTTTTGTTTTCTCTAGTTAATACTCTCATTTTATCAGACCACTTAAGATATTTTATGTAGTCAATATTATTTGTGTTTAAATTACAAAATCTAACCTTGATAATATTGTCAGTATATAATCGAGTATTACACATGAGCTTGCAACTCAATGGAAGTGAGGCTAAAGAAAAGTTATCAGCAACGTCGTTCATTATTATTTCTAACGGTTCGTCTGTTTCTGTCATAGGTATTTAAGATCGAATTTCGATCATCCTCTGCTGATATATATGGTTTTTCAGTGGATATTTTGATACCGACTGTAGATTTTAATTTTAAATTTTTAGAGTGTAGCTAAAGATGGAAGTCACGTTTCACCTTTCATTGTATTTGGAATTAATCAGGTGCATGTACTTGGATCTTAGTTTTAATGTTTAGACTGAGATTTGAATGTAGTGCCTATAGCTTTGACTATTTCATACATATACACAGATAAGAAATAAAGGTAGTTAAGTAAAGAACTTTTTCTTCAGAATATCATACAAATAAGTTCCATAATAACATTTATAGTTAGTTAGAATTTATAAGTCAATAATAAAAAGGGATGATCGAACAGATTTTCAAGTATCAAAACAAATCACCTAGATTACGGAATAGATTACACATAAGAGTTGATTGTTAAGTTAAAGAATATACGGAAATTAATTGAATTGTTGTTTGGGACTACAAATTATAAGAAGATATTATATAACGACCTCATGGTTAATGAAAAGAGATTTTTCAAGAATTTTTTTCAGGAAAGATATGAATATTTACTAGGAGAATACGTAAATTATAATAACTAAATGTTGTTAAAATAGCTAGCTAATGATTATAAATAATTAATGAAAGAGTATTACCAATAGAATAATGAAAATGAAAGATAGAAAGGAAGCTTAAAAACACGGTAAGATAAGAGATGAAACGTTGTTTTGCATCCAGAGATTAGGCTGGAACGGGTGAATTGCAAATACCTCTGCTGTACACGAGCTTCTGATCCTTTTGAACCACTCTTTCTAACTTTATGACTAACTTTAAAGGATGGTTTTGGTAGGGCGACGTACACGGTGTTCACGAGATGACTAAGAATTATGTAAGTAATTTAAACCCATTAATTATGATTTTAAATATCACAGGTTGTAAGCAGCTGACGAGAACCAACGAAATAAAAATGAATTCATGCTATTCTGCTAGAATGTTTGTTCTTGCTCTTTTCAAAATGATAAAGGGAACTATGTGTATGAAATTAGGCTACTGGCCGACTTTTTTGAATCCTGTCGATAACCAAGTGGAATAATGCTGGAAGATGAGTTTCAAAGGAGCTCGATTGTGCTCTCACTTTATCAAATATATCTTGATGATTTTTTTTCTACTAGTCGTTAGGTCGTTATTATAAATCCCTTCATATGATTTATAATTTCAGGTAATTCTCAAATATAATATATTTGGCCATCTAAATAATTTGTTTTGATACTTGAAAATCTATTCAATGACATTTTACATAATGCTATAATTTTCTATTTTATTGTCGAATTCTAACTAACTAATTGTGATTATGCAGCTTAGTTGAATGATATCGTTGTGAAAAAAAGTTTCTTTACTTAACTGTCTTTATTTTTTATTCGATCATCCAACATGTTTCTTTCATTACACACACAGATCACGAATAACAGAAATAGGAAAAACATAAAATTTTAGAAGTAATAGATATCGTACTCGTTGAAGAATTTAGTGACTATCTAGTCTCATTAGATTAATGGTTATTGTAATAGTGTTTTAAATGATAGGTACTGGGGTTGAGTCACCTCCTGAACACCAACTTTAGGTTCCAGGCATATCCAGTTATTGAGTTGCAAACATGACGAAACCTATGTCATTAATTCTTCATTCACTCAAAATCGATCAAGTTAATTTTCATTCACATTTGTTCATTAATCGCTCTTAGTAATTTTTAAAATTGAAGAAGTATTACTAGTAAACATTACTGAATAGATGTTCATTCATAAAACTGAAAATCTATGAAACGTTTTTAAATGTAAGATTTTTTAGAGAGACTAAAATTACTAATTTTTGGCTAAAAATGCAATGAAATTCGTAGAAACTAGAGAATCATGTTTCATGATCAAGTATGCAGTGATCAACTGACATCTTATATGTTTAAAAGGTATAATAATTTACGCATATGTGAGAAATAACAATAATTTCAAAAGCTTAATATTGAAAATTCATACATGCATATAGATTTGTACAGTGTTTAAATTAACTTGTTTGCCTGACGTTGACATCATTGATATTGAATTATTAACACAAGTTTCACTAATAAATTTTTCTACAGAGAAAATTCAGTATCATAAACAGTATTCGTTTAAACTGTGAATTTTCTTCTTTGTTAGATAAGTTAATTGATGGTACTTTAGACTTAAATCTTACAATATACTGAATTTGAACATTAACACCGTTGGATACCGGCTCAGTGGTCTCAAGGTTAAGCATTCACGCACGAGACTGATAATTCCTGAGTCTGAATCTCATGAGACGGGATCGTGGATGCGCACTGCTGAGGAGTCCCATATTAGAATGAAACGGCCGTTCAGTGCTTCCAGGTTTTCCATAGTGATCTGGCTTCAAATGACTCATGAATTCAATTAGTAAATTACTACAATCTTCACAAAACCTTTCTCTGATTATATACTGATTTATTCAATATTCAGTAAAAATTAATACAGAAAAAAAACAGATTGAAGTAATAAATATTTTTGTTGAAATTTCATTGAGTTCTGTTTGTACATGCAGTTTGTTTAGTATCACACTATAAAATATTGATTAGATACACTTGATTGTTCAACTATCATTCAATTTCAAATATTAACTTTGTTCATTCAGCATACTAGTGTTTTACTTTCTATATTTCAATTGTACGATTTGATTGAAATAAATCTATTAATGTAATATTACTCTTGATCATTTCTAAAATGTTTATGAAGACAGATTATTTTGTGTTGTTTTTCTTTTCACTTACAAATGACCAATTTTAAAAATTGAAATTCTCTTGTAATTCCCATTCAATATTATCATTCAGTCACTGGTTTATTATCCATTTGGTTGACTATACAGATTATGACTAACAACTGAAACTGTGAAATCCACCCTATATGCAATGACTAGCGTGGTTTTATAAATTTTTTAATTAAATTTATTCCAAAATATACACCATTTAATATTCAGTCAGTCGTATTATAATATTCCTGAATTCACCGTTAGACATGAAGATCATTGTATGATCTTCCCAATGCACTCATGCGTAGTCGCAAACTAGAACAAAACAGATACTTATTGATTTTCAGTGGATATTTAGTTGTTATTAATCTTTAATGAAAATCCCTACGAAATATAACAATAATTTTGTACAAAACTACCTTATTTATTCAGAATGAATTAAGAATACCTATATTATTGGTGATTTTGTGTTGTGTAAAATAGATGACATTATTGTGAATGTCTTATTATCTGTATAGGTAATAAAGTGAAAAGAATTCATACATCCAATAAGACGTTTTAGATGAACAAAGATCCTTGAAGCTTTCAAAATAAAGTAAGCTAATACTTATTTAATAGATTATTTTTTTTAAAAACTTAAAATTTTTGAATAAGTATTCATTTCCAAGTTAGTAACTATTACAAATTTCATTTATCATTCAGTCAGTCAGTTAGTCAGCTATAATATAGGACCAGGCACATATATGAATCGGTTCAAGTTGCCATACCTTATTAACACAAAAAGATGAACATCGGATTCATAAAAAGTAATTCAGTGGTGGTAATATATAAAAGAAAGATTACAGTAAGGATATAGTATAGGAAGAAGGAATTAATTCGTAGAAAGTACGATATGAAACGATTTTAATCTCTTAATTTTTTTTTCTCTCATTTTTTTTTGTGGATAAGAATGAATAACAATAATATGAAATGCACTGTAACTATACTTAATTAATTCATTGAAATAATCATTAGATTTCGCCCAAATGCACTTTATATTTAAGAGAAAAAAAAAGAACTATTCCTATTATGGATCATGTTCATTATGTCAAATCAATAAATTCATTAAATATAATCTTATTTAAAATTCTTTTAATTATTATTATTATTTGTCTGATGAATCATTTTAATGACATTTTGTTTAGTGATTTTTATTGTTTGTTTTAAATAATAATAAAAATAATAATAATAATTTATATACAACTTACCCACATAGAAAAATTAACACTGCCATAAGCCATGTTAAAACACCAACATGATATGTTATTCTGGTCACAGTAACATGTTGACAACAATCACATTGAAAAGATTTTGGTAGACGATTAAGTTTTTTATTATGTTCTATATCTGATTCAGAAACTAATAAGAAAATAAGAAGTGAAAATTGTTTTCTCTTTAAAATACATTTTATCTATTCCATAATGATTATTATTATTATTATTAATGGCTTTATTCAGTATTATAGTTTTGGTACAATATAGAATTCTCAGCACAGAGTATTTCAACAAGTGTCTTACACACAAAAAACAGAAGACAAAAAAAGCGAAAGAAGGTCTAAAAAAATTGAAAAACTGTACAACTTTTTAAATGAGAGACATGTTAACAATGCAAGTTATTGACTAGGTTAACTCTAACAACCTGTTCGTCACAGAGTATATTTGCTAGGTAAGGTATTATAGAACTTTTATACTTTTGCTTCGTGTATGGACTTTGATGTAATCACGTCTCGTTCTACCAGAAGATATACAAGGAGAAAGATAAGAGTGAACGGGATGGTTAGTATCTGATAAAATAACACCTGCCAGGAGTTTGTATGACTTTAGATGTCTATCCACAACCATATAAATTATGACCTCAAAAGATTCACCATACAACTTGCTAACTGCTTTCAACACTCTCCGAAACACAGCAAAATTTTTTCTCGAAATCCCGGGAAAGAATAATGGAGAACAGTAAAGAATAATAGGTAATATACAGGAATTGACAAATCGTAAGAGTAAATGACGAGTAATCACAAGAGCATGCAATCTCTTTATGTAGTAGGTTAGACGGAAAACCTTCTTTGATAACAATAAAACGTTGGAAGATCAAAAGAGATCAGAGGAAAAGGTAACACTAAGATAATTGACCTTCGACACTGTGTTTATCAAAGAGTTTTCAATGGCAACAGCATTATGGAATTTCGAAATGATGTTTAGATGCCATTCATGTCTAATAATAATTTTAACAAAATATAACAGTATAATCAGTCAGTAACAACATAGAACTTCGTACGTACGTACATCAGTTCGAGTTGCCATAACACATTAGCACAGAGATTCAGTTGTCGATTCAAATCCCGTAGTGGTAGAGGCGGTAAGAGTATAAGTAGTAATCGTGAGGACTAGGGTATGAAGATGTTATTCAAGGAGTACAATCCAGTGAAATAAATTTGGGAGGAGAAAAAAGAGACAAGGAGGAATCAGGAGATTAAAATTTGGGAGAACACAAAGAATGGATGCACCTGCGCCATTGCAAACGATTTTGAGGGTATCTAACCATCAGTTACTATCATCTCGCGGTCCCCAACCAGGTAGTTTACACATACCAACATAGCTCAGTCCACTTGTCAGTGACTTCATGGACTTGTGCCATGTTTTGGTCTGGCCGCCCCTAGCTTTCTTCCAACCTACTCCTATACCATTGAGCATCGCGCGTCGAGGTAGTCGGTGGTTGGGTATACGTAACACGTGTCCCAGCCATCTCAACTGATGACGTTTCACCACTTCATCAATCGATTTGCCATCCTTACCTAGTACCCGTTTCCTAACAACTGCATTACTTAATCGATAGTCCCAGGGTATACGAGCAATATTTCGAAGACACCTATGATCAAATACTAGTTACCTACGAATATCCTCTACTCTTACGAGCCATGTTTCACTGCCATAAAGTAGGACGGGACGAACTGCTGCGCAGTAAACACGTCCTTTGGTTGATAGACGGATATCTCGCCTACGCCATAAATGACGCAAGTTGGCAAAAGCTAGTTGAGCCTTCTGTATCCGTGCTGAGATTTCGTCACACACCAGACCACAAGGGCTGATGAGACTTCCAAGACAAGTGAAGTGATCGTCACGCTCAACTACTTCACTCTCTATCACACTTAGAGTACATAACCATTTATCAGAAGTATTATTATTATATATAACAATATAATACTTCTGACAAATGTTTATGTACTCTAAATGTGATTGTTACTTTTTTCTTATTTATATTTTTTGGCACAAGATATTGTCATAAAAAAAGTTTTATTGGATTTAACAGAAAATAAATAAATAAAACGTTTCTATGTGAATACATCGTTAAAATTTAGTTAAAATAAAAATAACAAAGAAAGATTATTTATTTATTTATTATTTTAGACTGTTTATTAATGATCTAATATGATATAAATGACAAGTAGTTTTGAATGTTTTATGGATTGTTTCATATATGATTTTCATTGTAACTATTATTGTGTAATGAATACATGTTTAAATTAATATTTAACCAAGATAACTGACATTTTGTGTTTTACTTAGAAGATATATATATGATATAATTTATTAAATTAATCATTAACAATGCTGTTTAAAGATTGAATTGTTTACTTCAATGAATTATTTATTTATCATTGTTAAAATAAGTATGATATTCTATTGATTGTAGTTTAAGCTTAATTATAAGGTTTAGTGATTAAAACTGGTAAACCTTAATCGATTTTTAGAATGATTAAAGATAGTTTTATGCATGATAACTAAGAAATAGATTATAAGATACTGTTATATCAATGCAGTCAATTTAGTGGCTATAACTGAAACACAGAAGATATTATTCAATTAGAGTTAATCATTACATCAAACGACATTTGCTTCTGTTCAATAACTGATTAGTTTATAGATTTCTATTCCTAAAGAATATCAAATTCAATACACTCAATTCATAGGTAGTAAACATCGTTGAGTTCTTGTTTGATCTTTCAGAGTGATTCATTTTTCTTAAGTTTAACAGTAAGATTGACTAGCGATTACAAAAGTGTGCAAAAACAAAAAAATCTAGGGTTTCTTCCAACTGAATTTAATTACATAACATCAAGAATATCATTTATTCTGTAATAATACTTATCAACAAAATTCTTTTTCTTAATACTTATATAATTAGTGACATCTTATTAAGTTAGTTACTTCGCAATATTTTGAATACAATTAATTCAAAACTATGTATCATACTAAGTTACCATAATAAAATATCCTTTAATGCTCACAATATTATGTTTGATCATAGAACATAGATTTATATGAAAATTTTACACAGCTTACCTTTGCTTATAGATGCTCTGGGTGTTACTTGAGGTGTAACAAAAGTTTTTGTCAAAGGTGATGGTGTAGCTGCAAAAAAATAAGTTACAAATAATGTATTTAGTAGAAATTATTTTTTCAAATTGTAGTTATTGCGAAATTTAAATGGGAAGAATTTATGTACTTAGTAATATCTAGATTACATATCTTTTCAAAGGGTATTTATTAATATACATAGTTATGCATAATAAATATGGAATATGATGATAGAAACCAATGAATTATCTAACATTTATCAAATCATTAATAGTAACAGGTTTGTAGTTAATTGAATATCAAGTATTGATGAATATAATGTCCTTTAGCGTTCAAATAAGTGAACAACTAAGTTAAAATTATTCTGTGATAAGTAAAACTTATAAAATTAAACAGATAATACAGATTGGTTTTGCATATCAAACTTAATAGAATGAAGATCTCCATTTATTAGTGATTCATATATGATAAACAGTGAAACAACGTAAATTCAGCATAAAAAGAATCAAAGTAAATAATTTGGGATAGTGGTTGACCTTGGAATACAAACCATGTGCTTTAAAGGTAAGCTATAACAACCTTATAACTATAAATAATTACATGCAATTGGTTCCCTTTATGAGCATATTCCGAAGAACTTGACGCTGCGAGGGACTAAAGCTTTTACCAGTGCAATAGCTCGGCATCTACTTGACACAGGGCATACCGTCGATATTATGCGCGTGTTTAAAATTATCAATAGACAAAGAACTACTACCACTCTCCGCTTTGTTGAAGCCATTGCAATTAAGAAACTGAAACCGGACTTATGCATCCAAAAAGAGACTTTAATAAACTTATCACTACCCTGGTAATCTTTTTGTTTCTGTTTGTTTTGTGTTTTGGTTATTTTATTCATTTACTTATTCGAAGATATTTTATACTCCCCTCTATTACCTAATTCTTAAAATAAATTTTATTCACACATTTCCACCACCTGATCCTCGTAAATTATCTTAACTTTCCAAATCCTATTTAATTATTATTACGTAATCTACCTTATCATTACTTAATTTCATTAATCTCTACAGTTATCACACAATTTATGAACTTCACTAAATTATTACACCGCCCACCCTGGATTAACCCCCCTCTGTTGACCTCTGACCTGTTTCTAGCATATATATATATATATATATATATATATATATATATATATATATATATATATATATATAGTTATTATTGTAATCCAGTTATTTACATTCATTTATGTCAATTGTTTTCACACTATCCCCATGTAAAAAATTCTATCACAATTTTGGTTTGTAAGTAGCTGACGAGAAACCTCGAAATAATATGAATTCATACTATTCTGCATCAATGTTTATTCTTGCTCTATTCATATAAATAATTATTTGAGCTATTCATTCAAGCGAAGCATATATTTATGCAGAGTTTACAGATCTAACTCAATATCAACAACAGTAGAATGGGAATCATTACAACAAACAAAAGCAATTAGTTTAATTTACATGTCGTTAAATTTTAAATGTTTAACAAAACTACTTACGTTTTGCAATAGAAGGTTGTTCAGATTTAATTGCTTGGTTTTGTTGAATTTGAGCCTGAACACTCAGTGGGACTATAAAAACAATACAAAAGTATAAAGATAACTTAGTTTTTTCTCTCACTAATATGATTAATTTTAAATATACAGTCAAATTATAAAAATGAAACTCTTAATTAGTTAGAAATGATTTTCAATTTCTTCATCTGCAAGAATTTCCCATCTTCATTTATTGTCATATGAATTTGGAAAAAAGATGTTTTTTAATCTTATACACAATAGCATCTTTTTTGAGCACTCTTGACTTTGTGTAGTAAGTAGAGGGTGATTAGTATAATGCTTCTTTATTTCTTTCGAAAATTGCACTATTCAAAAGGACTGGAAATAACTCAAGTAAATATTATCGACAAATTAAATCATAACAAAATAATTTTTAAAGCCTCTATGAATATATATTACAATGAACATGAAAAGTTCAGTGATTTAATCAAAACAAAATTGGAAAATGTAAACAGTTAAGTGAACAAGAGACATATACATATCTGTATAAGGTGTATTTGAAAGTTCACCAAAATGGTATTGTTAAAACATCAAGTGTTAAAAGTAGTCAATGGATTAAATGTGAATGACAGTAAGCTATCACTAAAAGTTAAAAGCAAATAACTGGTAATAAAATTTACATGAATAGCAAAAATTATTTCCTGAATAATGAAACGTGTTTCTTTTACTGGTTTTCATTTTACTTTAGATAAAGTAACACTGCTTTTATACATTTTGTATTTTTTAAAGTTAATTAAGTCAAAGTTAGGTTGATTTCCTCTACATCCTTTGAAGAAAAGTTACACCCACTTCAGAATATTTGGTTATGAAGGAGAAAAGTATAACTACATACTGTGAATATATATGTATATAGCAAGGAGGCAGTAAACAACAAATAAATACTAGGACGTTGATTTTCCTTAGTTTCCTATCACAAGCTAACACAAAGTCTAATATAAAGCATTCAAGTCTCGTGTAAAACATGGGATCGTAAAGTAACTCTGCCACATAATTTATTTGTCTAGGTCATTTTGATGCAGTACAAACGTCTTTCAACATCAATGGGCCGCATTAGAGTTGTAGGATTTGATAGGCCATGACTTCTGTCCAAAACCTTAAGGAATCCATCTCAAAGCAAGTTATTAATAGTCAAACGTTTATTAATAAGCTTTTTGGTTTTGGTAGACTTCCCTGGATTAAGTTTTTAATAAAAAGAGCCTTCAGTTCAAACGAAACTTTCCGAAAAACTATTCACTTTATTCATGAGTAGACAAGTCTGACTCAAGGTATTAATAAATATTTTCTATCATGCAGAAATGATTTTTAATTTATTTATACTATCAAAGTTATATTTTAACCATTTAAAATAATTAGAAACATAATTCTACTAGTTACCAGTCAAGTCAAAAGTGAAAGTGTATGCCTGTTTGTCATGTGATTGTGTGAGACTGAGAGAGAAAATTGATTATCAGACAAATCAAACTGTTTGTTCAATTCATATGTTTTGTTCACAATGAAAGTGTCTCTTCACAACACTATTTTGTTAATAATTTTAATATTGCACACACTGATTTATATCAATAAATTATTATTGTTTCTACAATAGTATGTCATCCAATCAGACTAATGGTAGTGTATCATATAAAAGTCTGATATATTTTCTATATACATAGTTATTAAGTTAGTTATTAATGAAAGAAATTGTTAAATTTTCATTATTCGACTTAGATTTGTGATTTTATTCTGAGATGGTGGAGAAGATTTGTAGCTCAGGTGGATGATTTTGGTGGAGATTTGTTCTCTGAGCTGGATGGTTTGGTCGTGGAGCTTTCATCGTTCTTCTGAACGACATCATCAGCACGAACTTCAGATAGAAGTGAAGTGTTTGAATTTCTCCATATGTGTCTCCAAGCTTGTTCTGTGCACCTAGACGTTGATTGGTTCTTATTGACCTTAAATTTGTCGTTGTTTATTTCTTTGTTTTGGTTGTGTCTCCCATTGTTTTGATTTTTGTTCTTATGTTTGTACATGATTATTCTGATTGGTTGATAAATTGGATTGATTTCAATATGCTTGTTGATTGCTGATTGACCTGAGTGCCAGGCTTCTAAAAATTCTCTGGTGTTTTTGGAGTTTCCTCTGTCTAAGATTTCCACATTTTTCCAATCGAATGAGTGTCCGCAGTTGTCCACGTGTATTGATATAAGTGAAGAGATATCATGCCGTTTGACTGCTAATTGATGTTCATGTAGGCGAACGTGAAGGGGGCGTCCGCTTTGTTCGATGTAGTGTTTTTCGCAGTTGGCACAATTTATTTTGTAGATGATGTTTGATTTGTTTTCCTTTGTTACTTCATCTTTTGGTTTGCATAAGATTGATTGTAGTGATTTTGTCGGTTTGTGTGCCACACCTATTCCGAAGGTTTTCAGCATTCTCGTCGCGGTTTCTGATATTCCTTGTATATATGGTAGGGTGATCCTTTTGTTGATTTTTGTGCTTGACTTGAGTTCTAATGCTGCGTGCGGTTGATATTTTTTGATGATGTTTCATTTGTATCATCTGCTTTATAGCCTGAATCAATTACTAGATTGATATTGTTTAGAATATGAGAACAAACAACGTAAATAATTTGACCGAACTAGAATATTTTTTGACTTTTTACAATTTTAAAAGCATAATTTTAAGTGAATTTATGTATGATAACCGAAAATTCTGTACTTGTACACTTTTCTTCAATGGTTTCGTTAATTAAATTTTAACCGTCTAAGTTCATTATACATTTATGAAATATATTTTATGGGTAATTTAAAATGAATAAAGATTTTTTTAAAAATCCATCCAAACTTCTGCTACAGGATAAAAGTAAATATAATAATGCTAAGTACCATTCAACTATAATGAAATGAAAACTTTCTTGACTAACGCCTTCACATTAGTTATAATTTGTGGTTGAAAACTTTGGATGAAATTGTCAAAACAGGAAGAGAATCCTCTGTATTTTAACGGTTAATAAAATTGCTTAGATTAATAAAAATCATAACAGTATTTTAATCGATATGTTCAACCATCAAAGTTAGTGCAATAAGTGACAAAACCGTTATGCAGAATAAATTTAAGTAAATTAAGTTAATCACTAAGTAGAATTTCACTTATTATCCCTTTCTAAAATATACTGATTACATAATTGATGGATTTGCAGAAAAAACATGACATGTTACTAGGACATAAATCAGCATCCATTTGCTTCCAGTTAAATACCGAATCTTACCTTGGGATTTAGTCAACATATGAATGTTAATTAGTAATTTGAATGACTTTTTTAATTACATTCATTCAAAATTACATCGTATGCTTACTTATTGTAACAATCCATTTTTTGATATACATTTACATATATATATATTATGGTTTACCTGTTAAAGAACTTTTCAAAATGCTTCTGTCATTGTACGTTCGCCAAGTATTGGCATAGTCTACAAGTCAAATACTTTTTGAAGGGATTCAAATGTCTTGATTACAATATTTTTGTTTTACAATATGGTAAAAATGAAGTGAAAAACTGAATTTTTTTAATTTTTCAAATGAAAAGAAAATAAATAGATAAAAATTAAATAAATAAAATGCGAATTAGTTGACCAGTAAAGAAGAACATAAAAACATTTGATGAGTATAAAATATTTTTGAATACCAAAGCAAAAAGGAAATCTGCAGTTATTTCTGTCATAGCTCTTTACTTTTCATGTATTGATTAAAGATATTATTGAATATTAAATACAGATATAAAGCTTCGATATACATATATATTCATGTGAATATAAACAATTACTATTTTAACAGAGATGAAATATAAATAGATATCATTGTTACATCATTATTTTGTTAATTAACAATTAGATATGTTGTTTTTCAATTTAAAATAGGATTAGTAAAAAAAGAAAATACCATTTGATATAAAATGATAAACATTAATCTTATATGTTTGATAATTATTTTTATTTTAAAACATTTAGAGCAAATTAAGTCAATTTTAAAAATATTTATATGCTTGTAATTGTTTAGAGCTTAGGCGCTCGCTCGCGAGACTGATAGGTCTTGGGATCGTGGATGCCCACTGCTAAGGAGTCCCACACTAGAATGAAACGATCGTCTAGTGCTTCCAGGTTTTGTATGGTGGTCTAGCTTCGATTGACTCATGATCTCAACTAATAAAATTACTGTAATATCCACAAAACCCCTTGTGATACGAATTTAATTATCCTTGAATACTTTGATATCATTTAATTATAAAACATTAATGTTTTAATTTCATTAGTTGAGATCATGAGCCAATTGAAGCTAGATCACCATGCAAAACCTGGAAGCAATTCAAAGTCATTTCGTTCTATTGTCGGACCCCTCAGCAGTGCGCGTCTATGATCCCGCCTCTTGAGATCCGAACCCAGGATCTACCAGTCTTGCGCGCGAACACATAACCACCAAACCACTGAGCCGGTATCCAGCACTGTTAATGTCTAACTTCAACTAATCCACGAAATCGATCATATTACTGTTCACAATCAATAATATTTAAAGTGGCTCTGTAAACAATCAGATGATAAAGTGAAATAAATTTTTATTATCCATTTACATTGATTGTTAAATTTCCTTTAAATTTGTAAATTAATATGTCTATTACTAAATTAACAGGTCAAATTGTTTTAATGGGATAATAACTTTGTAGGTTCATTCATTCTTCCTTAGATCTTCAGTTTTAGAACTGTCCTTAAGTTTTTATTACGTGACTTCATTCTTTTTTTCTAAAATCATATTGTCTATGCTTAATTTTCTTTACTACCATTGATACAGTTATTGTTTCTATTATTCTGACATTTACTTTCATAATTTCATCTCTCAGTGTTGATATAGTGTAATAATGTGAATTGATGCATATATATTTCAGGTCTATGTTATTTATGAATATAAAACAATAAATGAATCGTTAAAAATGAAATAACTTGTAATGTGAAATTCTGGTTTGTAAAATATTTGATGTAATTATACAACAGAGATTAAAAGCAGTAAACCAATGTGTAAACTTACTACATGCGATCGATGCTCTTGGAATTGTCGATGATACAGGTATTGCTTAGATACATAAGCAAAAAATAAATAACTGTTAACCAAATGTCAATAAATAATCTAAGTGATTTTGTTTAAATTTAATCACAAATAAATATTGTCTTAGTAAGCATTGAACAAGATAGAGTTATATACAAGTATATAGTTGTATTTTAGGAAAAAAAAACATTATGTTCTAAATAAATAAATAATATATTTGTAAAAACCCAATGAGTGGAAAATTAGATTTCCTGACGTTTCGTAACTTAGTGTTAGTCACCTCTTTTATTTTCTGAAGAAGTGACTTACACTAAGTCACGACACGTCAGGAAATCTAATTTTCTACTCATTGGGATTTTACAAATATATTATTTGCTTCTAACAATCTACCCAATGCTCAATTTATTCGAAATTATAATGTTCTAAATGTTTATATATATATATTCTTAAAATTAAATGTTTACTTTTTAATCATTCAGCTTTATTAAAATTATATTATTTTGAAATGCCTTTTTCACAACAATCGTAAATTATGAAGTAAGCTCAGAGGAATGTGATTGTTTTTCTCGAGCTACTTATTTTTAAGTCATTAATGAACACTTTTAAAGATCATTTGATACTTTGTTTTAAAGATAAATTATGAGTATGCATGTTTTTGACAATTCTTGCGGTTACTTTCATCAAATCATCTTGACCTGAAAACATCTAAATGTTCACATCTATAAATTGCACAGATCTACTATTATTTGAACCATGTGTGTCAAGTCTGTTTAACAATAAATGCACTAAAAGGTTACACTATCAGACCACAGAAATATCAAGAGTTTGGAAAGAGTTATAATCTATAATGTGCTAAAAATAATGATAGGCCAAAACATAAATCTCATAGTTATTATATTTTCCTGCCAATGATGATTTAGTTAAAAATAATGAAAATAAAACTGAATAATCAATTAACATTTTAATATATATTAGTTCACATTTTGTAGTTTAAAATTACTAATAGTTATATGTTAACTATTGGAAAATAATTCTTAGAAGGCTGTAGACTTTTTATTTATAAAATTAACACTTATTTACAAGAATCTGTTTTCATTTTGAATAAAACAATTGAAAGTTCAAATTTTCGTTGACCCTCAGGTGTGTTGAAGCATGTAAAACATCAAATGATAATTAGTGTGTGTTTTTTTACACTGATCCTTAGTGTTGCACAAGTTTAATCTAGAAACCTATGTACTGTTGTCAGTAAGCTGTGGAATTGAACACCTCTGGGAGATTTTGCTAATGTTGTGACAATTTAAAAATTATGGATGTCAGTTGTTTGAAATAATTAATTGTGTTTTATATAACTTCTTTTAATCTGCTTATGTTTTACAAGAGTTTTATTGGCCAGTGCTTGCTAAATAGTTGGTATAATTTTCAAGAAAATGGATCAGTGTCACTAAAATTTGGAGACTATGTTATATAACGCAATTAAATTACACACAAAAAGGGAGATTACAAATAATCCTTATGAAAAATTCTTTCAGTTCAAATGCTAAGCAATGAACGAATACAAACGACAAATAACTCAAACACAGGATAAATTGTTTTCACGTTTTTGGTGGAGTTTTGTTCTCTGAGCTGGATGGTTCGGTCGTGTTTAAACGTTAATTATTCTCACTATTATAATGCTTTGGTGCTCTTCCCTAAACTATTGAAAGACGTCTAGTCGATTTCTATTGATCATCACCAAAGATTAAACAGCATAATATTAATTACTATTTGGTGGCGAACCAAGTGCAAATAGAAAATCAGTCAAGGCATAATTAGTGTACGGATTCCATTTTGCGTCTATAATACTGTATGACACGGATTTCAAACTCTGGGGATTATCAGTTTTCTGAAGTACATAAACACATTCTGCCAATGAATGTATCTAACATCAAACCTAGGTTCAGAACTTAATAATGAAATGCGTAAATTAGCTATTTATTAAATTATATATATATATATATATATATAGCCAACTGAGTGGAAACTGAAGTATGATTCTCACTTCTGTTTCATAAATCATACGACAGAGCATCTAGTCATTATTATAGTGATAATGAAGACACCTATACTTCAATACCAGTCATTCTTTGTTGTCATTGCGGAATAAAATCAGTTCTTTTATTAGTTTGTTCAGTTAGTTTATTTGGTAAGTGAAATATTGTGTAACTCAAGTAAAATCAAACAAATAGTTGAACTAAATTTTTAGATTGAAAAAATAACTTCATAGCAATCCAATGTTGGTAAATATTGAGGGCTTTTATACAACAAAACTTCTGAATAGATTAAGCAAAGAACTGAGTAATTTACTTTGAACATTGATGTATAGATATTTAAAGATCTGTAGTGACATTCTTACGATTAATCTTGATAACGGTTAATCCATGTGAAGCACTTTATCTGACAGACAACTTTATCGATATAGTAATAAATCGTTTATTTCTTTGTATTAACAGGACCGCTATGACGCCTACGGAAACGCTTATTACAGCCTACGTATATTTCTGTCTGACTCAAATATTGATCGCTTAAATATAACTCGATGTATAATTCTCCGTCCCTCATATAGATGCACTTACTTACTTACGCCTGTTACCCTTCGTGGAGGAGCATAGGCCGCTCACCAGCGTTCTCCATCAAACTATTTTCTGAGCAATTCTTTCAAGTCACTGGTCATCCTATTCACGTCTGCTTCCAATTCTAAACGCAGTGTTTTTTTGACCTTTCTCTTTCCCGTTTCTCTTCAGGATTCCAAGTTATGGCTTACCTCGTGACGCAGTTTGAAGATTTTCTCGATGTGTCCTATCCACTTCCGACGTCTTTTCCAGATTTCCACCTCAGTTGGAAGTTGGTTTGTTCTCTCCCATAGTAAGCTGTTGCTGATCGTATCTGACTAAAGCACATTCGGTATCTTGCGTAGAAAATTGTTTGGAAATACTTCTGCTATTTTGATGATGGTTGTAGTAGTTCTCCATGTTACAGTTCTGTACAGTAGAACTATCCTGACGTTCGTATTGAAGATTCTGACTTGATATTTCTTGACAGTTGTTCTGAGATCCATGTGTTCTTCAAGTTAAGAAATGCTATCCTTGCTTTACCAATCCTCGCCTTTACGTTTGCATCATATCCTTCTTGTTCATCAATGAAGCTTCAAAGGTAAGTGAAAGATTTCACCTATTCCAGAGCTTCTCCATGAAGTGAGATTGAGCTGGTGCTCTCTGTGTTGCATTAAAGGATCTAGCTCTTTTTCTTGTGTATGTTGAGGTCTACTGCTTCAGAGGCTGCTACTACATTGGTTGTCTTGACCATTATTAATTGATGTACATGGGATAGAAGTGCTAGGTGGTCTACAAAGTTCAAATAGTCCAGTTGCATTCAAGTTTTCGATTGTATTCCGTGCTTTCCTTCAAATGTCGGTCTTCATAATCCAGTCAACTAGAGAAGGAGTGAAAGTAAGCAGATTTGTCTGAATCCGGTCCATACTTGAAATAAGTTTGTCTGCTATCCTTCACACACGACTTTAAACTGTAGTCCATTGTTTGCATTCCGGGTGATATTAACGATTTTCTTAGCTACTCACTCCATAGTGTCGAAGAAGTTTCCATAACGTTCTTCTAACCACACCGTCAAACGCCTTCTCACAGTCAGGGAAGTTGATCTATAGTGACGAATTCCATTCAGTTAACTGTTCAACGATGATCCGTAGTGTCGCGATTTGGTTTGTGCACGACCGATCTTTACGGAATCCAGCCTGTTGATCTATAAGTTTTGTGTCTGCTGAGTCATTCCTGGTACTTACAGTAGTGTGATGCCTCCGTAGTTTCCACACTTGCTCAGACCTCCTTTCCTTCTCATCTTGATGAGGTATCCTTCTTTTCAATCTGTCAGTGGCACTTGTTCTTCCTTCCAAATCTTCCCGGATAGAAAATGAGAGTACTTTTGCAGTTATTTCTGTATATGACTTCAGTACTTTGGCCAGTATATCCTCAAATTCTGCTGCTTTCCTACTCATGAATTGTCTAGTGGTCGGCCACCATGATTCCTTCGGTCGCTGGTGGAGTGACATTCATAAGAAGGTCTGTGTCTGCTGCTTCAATATCCGAATGGTTCAATGGAGTTGACCTATTCAGGAAGTGTTCAGATTGCTCTACTCATCTGTTCCTCTGTTCATAAATTAACTTATTTATTCGTTCTTGACTGGTCACTCTGCTATACTATATTTGCCTGCTAGATTATTCGTTGTGTCATATAGTTGTTTCATATTTCCTTCTGCAGCACCTCTTTCCACAGTCGTTCCTTGGTCTTCCACGTATTTCTGCTTGTTTTCTCCTTAATGTTCTTCTCCACTCGCTTGTTTGCCTCTGTGTATTCAGCTTGTGCCTTGACTTTCTCTGTTCTTGTATGGTTGGTATTAATTACTGCCTCCATATTATCCTTCCTTTCTTGAATCTTGTCTAGGGTTTCCGTAGAGATCCATTCTTCATGATGATGCTTCTTGCGGCCCGTAATCTCCTGACACGTTGAAGTTGGTGCTTCTTTGATCTCTTCCCAGTCGCTCTCCATAGTATTTTCTGCTTCTTTCAGTAGCTCTTGCAAGTCTGGGAACCTGTTGTTGAGAGTTATCTTGAATTGATTGAGTTCGTCATTATTTCGAATCAAGTCTGTCTCGAAACTTTGTAATTCTGTTTGTCCGGTTGTTTAATGGTTCTCTAGCTTTGGTTTCATGTTGGCAACCACCAGTCGATGATGATCTGTAGCCATGTCAGCTTATTCTCATACCTCTCATTGTCCTTCTGAATTTTTTTATTGATACAAATATGATCTAAATGGTTTTCCGTGATTTTGTCCGGTGAGACCTATGTAGTTATGTGTATGCGCTTGTGTGGGAATATTGAGCCACCTGTAACCAATTTGTTGAATACGCATAGATTTGCAAATCTCTCACCACTCTCGTTCCTTTCTCCTAACCCATGTCGTCGCACCATACCTTCATAACCGTTGTCGTCCATTCCGACTTTGGCGTCTAGGTCCCCCATCAGGATGGTGAGATCCTTTCGTGGGCACTTCACTATAACTGATTGCAGCTTGTCGTAGAAGTGATCTTCATTGTTGTCATTGCTATCATTGGTAGGTGCATAACGTTGCAAAACATTCATTGTTATTTCCTCCTACTTTTTTCCGTAGGATGTTTTGATGATCCTGGTCCATGAGATTCCCATCCCACAAGTGCGATTCGTGCTTCTTTGTACGGCATCAGAACAACTCCTTGAGTGTATGGAACATTTTCCTCTTCGTGACCGGAGTACAACAGCATCTGTTCCGTACCAAACCTTTGCTGTCCACATTGTATCCAATGGGCTTCGCTGATTCCGAGAACTGTCAAGTTTTATCTTCTTTAAAAATTATTGTTCTAGATGTTAGAAGGGGCGTCGGACTCATGACTCCCAAAGAATCTCAGCTTCCTTTACGAGGCGTCATAATTCTTCCTTGAACTCGGAGGACATAGTTTACATGGTTTAAATTGTTTATTCTGGTTAGCGCTTTTTTAGCAAGGTTCTTTTTTACGGGATGGGGTTGCCGACTACACGCCCAACCCTACATATAGGTCTTTAAAAAGATACTTTTATCATAAAATCGGTGTAAAAGTGAAAATGTAAAGTAAATATCTAATTTACACCAGTTCATATGTCATGAATTATTTCTAATTGTTGCAGTGTTTTTTTATGCTACCAAATCAATTATACAGTCCTACAGTTATATAAAACTACTTGCAATAGGCTGTAGTAGTAGCTTTATGTCGCCTTCTGAATTCAGTCCCATGGCGTCCCCGTAATAGCAGTTATCAGGATGAGCGTTTAACGAAACTACGCTCACTACAGTTTTCATAGTGTACGAATTAATTTCAGCTAAACTAAGTAGGTCAATTACAATGTGTACGAGTGGAACAAGTTCAAAATTTCCGAGGGTACCACGAATTTTATTGAGTTTAAAAGTAATCGAATTATGATTGCCTTTAAAATCTTTCAAATATATAAACTTAATGATTTAGTCCCATCCAAGCAACCAAAACCTCTATTGATTTTTTTCATGAGTCGCTATTTACTTTAGAACAATGACTTACTAAAATTTATCCTTATTGTTTTGCAACTAAACATCACTAAACTTATGATTAGCGATCATGAATATATGTATAATAAACTAGAGCTTATGAATCTTTGTTAAACAAATGATAGAAACAAAAAAAATAGGAAGTTACATTACTTACGTCCAGCTGATGTAACTGGCGTATTCAAATATGGTGTTGCACGTGGACTGTTTCTTGGAGGAAGGGCTGATTTAGATATAAAATAAAAAATCCAAACATTTTTAAGCAGATACATTATTTTGATCAATAGCTAATTTCGTAAACATTTTAATAAAACTCTTATTTTAATATATATACATATATATATATATATATATATATATATATATATATATATATATATATATATATATATATATATAATATCTCTGAACTAATTAGCAGTATAACAACAAGATTCAAATATAACCAGAAATAACCGACCTACAGATTAGTATAGTGAGAAATTTGTTTTTATTGCCTAAAGGAAATGTTTAATTTCGAAGATATGCTCTACTGAGCCGATGGTTCTCTTATCATTGGTTTGATGATTCATTTACTGATTGGCAAAGATATTAAAATAAACTGTTTAGTGTGTAATCAAAGTTTTTAGATAGCGAATGAATAGAAGAAAAAAACAGATTAACAAGTGGAACAAACTGACCTCCAGATCCGGATGCATTCTGTACTGAATATCTCCTTTTTTCTGATGACAATGCTGTAATATAAAATACCTGATAAGTGAATAATGAAAATTCTTTTAAAACGTAAACAAATATGATATATAGAGCTGTTTATTTGTTGATTTATTTTGGAATATTACCTTATCATCTTCAGACATAATTTGATAATAAATACATTTTAAATCATTTTGTAATTGAGAGGCAAAAATAAATTGAGAAAAATAATAATAAAGTATTCCATCCAATTGTTAACCTCACATTTAATCTGTTTTATAGTACGTTTCCTTTTGTAAAAACGTTTTATACCCATGCAAGTTATGGTATAAAGCATTTGATTCACTAAAAAATAATCTATGTAGCTAATATAATCATTCATATTGTGGGAGTAAATTATTGCTTTTTTTACTAAGCAAATTAGCCAATAGGTTTTCTGTTAACAATGAACATTTAATATTGTTTAGATACGTTTAAAATAATGTTTACAAATTAATATTAAAAGTCTTAAGAAAACAAAATACATAAAGATTATTAAAAAAAAGCATTATATATATATAAAAAAGACTGTTTATAAGAATCATTACCAAAGTTTGACTTGATGTACTCAAATAACCAGAACATGAAGTAGATTATTATTATTAAAAAAAATTTTGTTATATTCCAATGAATAGAGAATTGAATTTTTAACGTTACACTATTTAGATTAAATTGTTCTTTTAGAGAATAAATAATTAAAATAAATTAACACCATTTTAATTGGTATAGACGAACAAATCAAAATACAAATTTGATCATTTTTATGTCAAATTATTCAAGTCAAAGGGGAGATGTGTATATTTATTTATGTATGGCCTAGAGTGGAGAGAGTTAGCTCTCCCTCTCGAAACGCTTTCACATGGCCATGTGCATACAACAACTACTAGGGAAGTCCCACTCACTGCCTTCTCGCAGAAGGGGTGTTGTTTACGAAATTGAGAGGATGAAAAGCGAATGTCTGGCACTTTATCCTAATTGGTGGACACGAAGGATCCACCTAGAGGAGTTGGAAAACCCTGATCCCAAACCATTGGTGCACATGAGCTACATGATCCTTAGGGAGCAAATGGCCTATGAACCTATTATTGGTCACCGGCTACCATGGGTTTGTATCTCCTTATTTTGCTCCACTGCCTTGTAGACTATACTTTCTAATCAAAGGCTCCGGTTGTGGCCCCTTTAGAAAACAATCTGCTTCGGCCTGAGCACTTGGGTAGTATCACAGCCCACACACAAATAAAATGAATTGACGATAATTACTGAAAACACTATTCTCGCCTCAATACTACTCAGACAATTCCCATTCATTTTTCTTTTTTCTATATACTACTTTCATTCGTTTCCACTTTGTGCATCCTTATTTTTCGACTTATACAGAGGCTCGCCTATGGTGGAAACCCTATCTAAACGATTTCGAGTTACTGACTGGTCGAAAGTTGGATGCTACCACCGACTACGAATACTAAGTCTTTCTGAAACCACGTATATCACTCAAACTGGCCTCCTTCAATGTTCGCACACTAATGGAGATCGGACAACACATAGGGCTGGCTGTCTTTACAAAGTCTTAATATCGATATCTGTTGTCTACCGAGACCCGTATTCAAGACTCTAATGAAGTACTACAAATTCGCTCTCCATCTGTCGCTTTAAAAATATTGTTTTACGTGCGTTTATCCGGGGACCCTGTGGTATCTCCGTCTGGTTTTGCTGGCGTTGTGTCGCACTAAGCGCTAGAGCTGAGACAGCACTGATCGGTTGGATCCCATTAACAATCGGTTATGTGCTGTTATATTATAAAGTTGCATCAAAGCGAGAAGAAATCCGTGTGAGAAACGATTTCGTTTCATCGTCTCCGCCTATGCTCCGACAGATTGCAACCTGGATGCGATCGAGAATGGATTTTACCACCAGTCAAATGTTCTTCTACAGAAAGTGCGTTCGATAGATATTGTAGTACTAGCCGGAGACTTGAATGCTCAGGTCGGGCGTCTAGGCACAGACGAGAGTCCTTTAGGTGGTCAATGGGGGCCTGTTGATCGTAGATCAGATGACAGTGACCTTCCATTACAACTATGCGCAGACATTAGAGCTGCCTTCGATTCGTTGGACAGGACTGTTCTCTGGGATTGTCTATTGGAGAAGGGTGTCCATGAGAAGTTCATTAAGATCTTAAAGGCTCTACATACCTCAGGCAGATTGAGGGCATACAACCACCTTTCTCTATTGTTCCATTCGAGCAGTGAGGTTAGACAGGATTGACCAATCTCACCATTCCTCTTCAACCTTGCCATCGACGACATTCTGGAAACAGCTCTGGTGGATGTAAGTAATGGCGGTGCTGACATCCAGTGGCAACACCATGTTAGTAATGCAGAAGTTCGGCATCGTGTGTTCGGGCACAGAGACGATAATCCAATTGGTGTCACCATCCTGAAACATCGACTTCGGGGGCTTGGACATGTTCTACGAATGTCGTTTCAGAGAATTCCCTGTCGTGCATTATTTGCCGACTCTGGGACTGGTTGGAAGAAGCGGAGAGGTGGTCAGTTTATGACATAGTGTCGCGGTATGAAAGAAAGCTGCAAAAGAGCTGGCTTCTGTTGGCCCTTCATGACTGCCTGGCTGGAGTCCGAGAGATTGTGAAACAGTGGCTAAAGACGTTGTAAGATATAGCTCAGAATAGAAGTCAGTGGCGATCCTGCTTAACTTTATTTTACTTCATAAAAAGTGGACGTAACTTCCTTAAATATAAGAATTCTTTCTGGTTGTAACTTTGCTAACTGAACTGCCCCCCCATTATTATTATTATTATTTCACTATCATACACTAATTTCTGTTCGTTTTTGTTCCCCTTTTTCTTATACGCACGTTGCATGCTTTATCACTTCACATTCTCATTGTTATTGTATGGCGTATACGTATCTGATGCCCATTTATACAATTATTTATGTGTTCAAATAAATAAGTAAATATGTCTCAAACCATAAGCAAATATACAAATGAGTTTCACTTCCTCATATCACATTTCTCACACCTACTTAGATCAACATGAATGTATACCAATATTTTAACTTTGACCTGAATGATATGACATTAGAATGTTCAGACTTATTTTTATTGTACTAAATATTTTGATTTACTTGTCTGTGTAGTTGACATTTGTGTTGATTTGTTTTAATGATTTATTCTTTAAAGAGATAATTTACATTAAGTAGCAAAATGTCAAAAGTTCAGTTTTCCACTGATTAGGATTAGACAATTATATAACGATTTTAATAAGTTAAAACCATTAGTCCCTTTGATAAATTTCGATAATGCAATGCGAAGGCGAAGTTAAAATTTGCATTAGTCCAATTAAACAAATAATGTATAATAGTAATTTTCACCACGAACTGACTCATCATCTGGAAAACCATGGACAATTAGAAGTCACTAGACAAATTCCTCATCTTAGTTTATTGTCACTCAGTAATATTCATACGTAACTAAGCCGAAAGATAATGATATTTATTTTTAATTTTAGCAAACTGGCAACATAGTGAGGGTATAACTTGTATAAAAGCTGAGAGAAACAAATTTTTATACTCAAAATAGCACATTCAAACAGGTCTATAGAATTCGTTTGTACAAATGTTTAAATAGATGATGCGAAACATAGTCCAGTAACTTAGAGTAATTAGTTCTTTTTATAAATTTTGTTAAATTAATAAGAACACGGATTTAACCCGATGAGAGTAGTATATTTACACAGGATTAAGAAGAGGTTTCAGTACTAATGGCTTTTATACCGACTTACCAGCTTCAACAAAAAACTCAGCAGCTTCATGTCTTATTTAAAAGCATCTTTGGTGCACATTTGATTAGTTCTGTTAAAGAGGCACTTTGTAAAGACTTAGTTGTATTCTAGGAAACACAAACCTTTTTTTCAGCTTAGAAGGGATAACTTTCTTTCTTTATAGTCATATTTAATCATAACAAGTGCATTATAACCTTTATCAGATTTAAGGATCCCAATATCTGGTCTATTCTGCGGGTATTTTAAAGTATTTGAATGTTTAGCCGCCAGGATATCACTGTTTTATTTTTGAAGCATAAAAACAGAGAGCGATATCGAGTAATTTTGCACTCAGAAAATTCTGCTTTACCTGTGTGTTCGAAGCAAGAACGCTAACTTAGTCACAGAGATTTTCTGATTCATCATGATTCTTGGTATGAGTTATTTATCTTGATTCACAACCCCGAAAATGCGTCTTAACTGACATTTAGAGACCTATTGATTAAATACTTTGTGGAAAGGATTAGCGAACTGAGGTTACTGAGATAATCGTAGGGCTTATATGCAGATATCTCCGATTTGCATAAATTTGACCAGTCATTAAATACAGAACAATAATTTCACAGGAATACACTGAGTTTATGTTATCTGTTGATTATTTAAGCTCACAAACGTTTATTCACTGAATGAGTTGATGGGTAAATGACGCGCAATCACCACAGTACTGTATCTGTCGTTATTTCTTCTATTCCATTCATATGAAAATCAATGGAATTACGCAAAATGTGTTGTTATTTTCTAGAAATTAAGGACCTGAGCTTGGAAACCTTTAAAAATTAGGAAACATTCAATAATTCCTCAATGGTGCATGATTACGAACGACCGTCCAGCACTTCTATGTTTTCAGTAGTAGTATAGCTAAGATTAGGTCATGATCTAAATTGTGAAAATTCTACAATCACCAAAAATCTTGTATACTAATTTATATTTTGTTAGAGAAAATTGTGACAATTAAGAGCGGTGAAATGTTTTCAGCAAACTCCAAACAACTTGTATGTAATACTGGTTAGTTATCTGACTGTCGTATATTGGTATCTTCTATTTTTAATTACAATTTGGATGTTGATACGTTTTATCATTTTGGTCCCGCCGGCACTAATAATCTCATACTTAGAAGGTTCACAACCCGCGATCTAATGAACTTGAAGTGGGGTTCCGTCTTAGTCGACTACTGGGACGCCTTACCCGAACAAGTGGAATTAGCCCCATCAATAAACATTTTCGAGAAGCTGGACCTTCACTAGAAGGTAAACTGTCAGGATTATTGCAGGTCCACCAGCCTACTATCCTTATTACTGGAGACTGAAGACTGACTGATCTTTTTGTCAACAGAAAAACAATGAATTCGATATACACGATGAAAGGAAACGATTATATGTAAAATGTTATCGTTTCTCAAAAATGAATGAAGAATGTTTATGCTTTCATATATTGCCAGTTTCCATGTGATTAATTGCTCAAATCGAAATAAATATCTTTAAAATATTGTCAACAAAGCTTGAATTTGTGTGGTTACGTAGTAGGTTAGTTAAGCAACTTTTTTCCAAAAAGTAAACAAACGTAATTCATTACATCAAGATACGTAAAGAAACAATATTTAATTTACATAAGTGACAAACCTGTATCCTTGAATACGGCTGCAGATAATTGGTGAGGAAGATTTTAAAAAGAAAAAAAGGATAAAAGTAAATTAGTGTTTCAATTTATTCACCAATGTAATAATACATAATAATTAGTTTTAATCAAATAACAGAAATAAAACTCATAAAATCAATACGCGATTTTTAGTAAAGTGTTCCTCTAAGTGTTGTTGTTTATCAACAAATCAGTGAATAGATTCAATTAAAAGTACACAGTAAACTTGAATTCAGTAAAGTGTGTGAAAGGAAAAATATATTAAATTAGAAACACTCTTATTTCTCCAATACACCGTATTGGTTTTAAACTGTAATCTAAAATTTGAAAAAAACTATACTTAAACAAATATTAAAAATTAACTCTACTTAAAGTGTGTATTATATTTAGTTAACTTATCTAACTGATAAAGCTTATAAAAGATAATACTTTCTAAAAGTCTGTTAGCATAAACAAATTGATTAATGATAACAGATGCAAAAAATGGATAAATGTAGTTGCCTAAGAAAAAAACCTTTTTAATAACTGTTGGATGCCGGCTCAGTGGTCTAGAGGTTAAGTGTCCACGTGCCAGACCGATGGGTCTTGAATTCAGATCTGGCGGGGAGGGGTGCTCTCTACTGAGGAGTTTCATACTAGTACGTAACGGCCGTCGAATGTTTCCAGAGTTCTCATGGTTGTCTAGCTTTAATTGACTCATGAATTCAACTATTAAATATATTTTTTTTGGTTGAGATCATGAATCAATTGATGTTACACCACCGTTGGAAACCTGGAAGCACTGGACGGCCGTTTCGTCCTAGTATGGGACTCCTCAGCAGTGCGCATCCATGAAGTTCTAGTGAGAAGTCGTGACCAGTGGAGCTAATCCGTGTCGGGTAGAGACAGGTATCTATCTCAGTACAATGGAAGTTGGTCGCGCAATTTCGTGGATTGGTTGATGTTAGACACTAACACCATTGGATGCCGGCTCAGTGGTCTAATGGTTAAGTGCTCAGGCGCGAAGCCAGTAGGTCCTGGGTTCGAATCCCGCTCGCGGGATCGTGGATGCGCACTGCTGAGGAGTCCCATAATAGGACGAAACAGCCGTCCAGTGCTTTCAGGTTTCCAACGGTGGTCTAACATCAATTGATTCATGATCTCAACCAAAAACTTAACAATCTCCACAACCCCCATACTGATATTAAATATATATTTGTTTACACAAATTTCTGCAAACTGTCAACCACTCATTTAAACACATAGATGAGTGAAATAGTGCAACCGTATTTTGATTGTGTTCAGTTTAAAGTTATTAAAATAAGAGGTAATATTGAAATAATGTTATACATAGATAATTATACTGAACAAAACAACAAACATAAAATATACACAATGTAATAAATTGAATTTGTAATATTAATACTTGACAATATTTTACAAATGCCCATTTGAATATGAAATTAAATGAACCTTATAAAAAGTAAATGGTTTGGGCAAATCTTTAATGTTTCATAGAGAAACTGAAGATTTAAAATATGTAAAATTTCATAAATTCTTCCTAAGGTTAATTCATGAATATTTTAGTGCTATTTTATTTATTTGATAAGTTGGTATTATGCAAATTTAATAAATCAATTTATTATTAAATTATTTACTTACATAATCTACCGATGACTTTAGGTAGAGGCTTTTGACCTTGTGATAATTCTTCAGTGCTAGAGAGTTCAGATGGTTTACGTGATTGTGCCAAAGCTTTTTGTAGAAATAAATAAATATATATATATATATATATATATATATAATGGTTATAAGTTGTTATTCATATATGAAATTGCAAGTTTCAAAGACGAAAAAAAAAAGATTGTATGAATGATAACTGATTGAACTACAAAACAGCAAGTAATTTTTTTTACATAAAATTGAAAAACAAATTGTTAAATAGTAACCTAGCAAACTGAATACTATGCTGAATATAAAACCTAGAACGTTTGAACACGAATACCTGTGAAGTCAGAGACGTGTTGTTTTAAAATTTTGGAAGAAAAACACAGTTAGTAGAAGGGTGAAGCACAATAGAGTGTGAAAAGCACATTTTAGGATAGATGTGTGTGAACTCCAGATATAAGTCAAAATTTCATAGGAAATGTGCATTCATACGAAGATATGAGATAATTCAAGATTAATGTCAGGAAATGTGATTATTTATATCAAAAGCTCGAACAGTGGCTTTCCAAACTCAAATTTATTTAATATGTAACCAACTTCACACGTTTGACAGACCTTACTTTCCAATATCAATTCTATAAAAAATCTTCCGTAAATCTGACGAAGAATGTATTTGCTATGTTTTAGCACTAAGTACTTTAGTTTAATGATGTTTCAAAGAACTAAACGCTTCGGATCATAGTTTTATTTGTTGATCGATCCAATAATTCTAAGAATAGAGTAGCTATTCATCATATATTAATGGGAGTAATAAGGCTCTAAGAAGGAAATGCTATAAATGCTATTGATTATATCCTAGACACTATTCGAAGGAATTTTCACCAAAAATATTTATTTAGTGGTCCATATCCAGAAAGCACATAACAGAGATAAGTCTACCATCACTCATATGCATTATGATAAGAAGGATGATTTCAGATTGCAATAGCTGAAACCATTTCATTGATTTAGTAATATTGTTAACGTTGTGGAGTCAGTATGGTAATATCCTTAGTGGTAAGAACTGTTCAGTAATTTGATTGAGATCATGAACCGATTGATGTTAGACCACCACCTTTGGAAACCTGGAAGCACTGGACGACCGTTTCGTTCTATTGTGGGACTCCTTAGCAATGCGCATCCACGATCTTGCTCGCGGGATTCCAACCCAGGGCCTTCGGTCTCGCGCGCGAACGCTCAACCTACTGGACCACTGAGCTGGCACCCAATGGTGATAGTGTTTAACATCAACCTATGCACGAAATTGCGCGACCATCTTCCATTGTACTGAGGTAAATGCCTGTCTCTACCCGACATGGATTAGCTCCAATGGTCACGGCCCCTCACTAGAACTCCGAGAATTCCCTCACGAAGCTAGTCACTAGTGAGCACATGTTAATTCCCGGTTCACGAAATTTCACAACTTAATATTTTTTTCATAACATTTATTACTAATAAATAGTTGTAAGTAGTACAAACAGTTTAAATATAATATGTGAAGTAAGTGGTTTACAAAAAGGGACATAATTTATCTGGTTCAATAAAAAAACTATAAATCATATCAAAGTTCCTCCTTTCTGTGCTCTTACGATTTCCCAGTATATAAAGATCTTGTACACTAGTTCAAAAGAAAGCAAATTATTCAGTAAGTTGCTTGCAAAATGTTGGGATATTCAGAAAAATATCCCAGAAATTATCCTATTAAGTCTAATGCTAATCTTGGACGTGGACATGGTATGATTTTCTTATTGGTCAGTACTTATTTCACGTGTTATTTTCCTACTGGTCAATATTGTACAATGTTATTTTCTATTTTATGGTACGTTGTGGTCTGCTTGACTGGTATATAAACAAAGTATGTTTGAAATATAATGATTCATATATCCGAGGCTGTGACTTGGGTTCTGGACTCAACTGCTGGGCTAGATAGGGAAGCGGGACCAATCAGAACCCTAGGTCGTTCTACGTGTTTGTGCGTCTTTGGTCCGATCGATAATTCGCTACCCTCAAATCTGCCGTCACAGTTATAGCACAAAAATATATATATGAACTTCGTAATCAAAATATTTAAGTGATGGAATTCAGCATATCCAAAGTGTTTATTATTTGAACATCATATAAAAATATTGTGCAAAATGAAAAGAAATGAATATTTTGATTTTCATTAAAATGGAAAAGAATCTAACAAAATTCTACTATATAACAGCCAAGTTGATTAATTATGGTAGATATACCACGCGACAGACACAAATTTCTGTCCAAAGCTATATCTCACAACAACTGATCAAGCTAGTAAATTGATAAGGTAAAAATACGAGCATAAGAAATAATAATATCAGCTGATATAGCTGGCCAGAAACAAAAGTCAGGGATAAAAAGGAACGGATGAAGCTGAAGAATAAAACAGATGGAATCACTTTAACGAATATACGGAGTAGATGTTACTATACTGATGTAAACGTTTTGGCCATATTTTCGAACGTCTCCAAATACAGAATATGACCACCATACACTTTTTAATTAAGCTCCAGTCAGCACTTATAGACTTCATGTTTTGATATCCTCACCCCTACCTTTTCTCACTCTATTCATATATCGGCCCTCATAATCAGACAAGTTAAACTTTGTTGAATGTGATACGTGTTCTAACCACCCTAATCGATGACAGTTTACAATTGACATGCTCCTAACCCTAGCGTTACTCCTTACGCTTTAAAGACACTTGTGATGGAGCAAATGTATCTTTTACTTTTTGTAGATCATACTTCACAGTCATAAGAAAACGAGAAGCTGGCTGTTGAATAGATTACAAGCTGAGAATAATAAGATGAAGCTACCAGTTGAGTGTATAATGGCTGAAGATTTCAAATCCAATCATTCGGCTATGGAATGCGATAAATGTTTGATATTTTATCTATCATATGAGTGAAAGCATTTTGAAAGAACAAATTTAATTCAATCATATTTAAACAAAACAACAAGTGTGAAATCAACAAAATGTTTACAACTAGATACATAATTCAGATAGATACATAATAGTTACGTAATTTAAAAATATCTAGAAATTAAAAAGTCTGTACGTGTTTTTTTTCGTTTAATGATATCGCATTCATGAAATAAAAATGAAAATTTTGCCATATAAATCAATTATTTTTTTCTTAAGTAATTCATCATGTTTAGGATAAAATTTTAAGTAATATAAACTGAGTGACAAAATCTTCTGAATTTAGCTTAATGTTGATATGAGAATGATCTGAAGGTTTTTTTTACAAATAATAATTAACTATCTGTGTATAAACAGACAATCTATCAGATATGTCACAAGTTTCCAAAATGTCTCTATGGAAAACTGTAGCTGAATTTCTAAAGTATATCAGTCATAAACGTTTATGGAAATACACTTAAATCTGTGTAAAATTTGGGAGGCAACATTAGAAAATAAGTTTATGAAGACTTAATTTACATACAATTAAAATTTGGTAAACGTGATTAGTCAAGTTTAAGGTGACGAGGTCAACATTTGTGTCAACATCTAAAACTGACTATTTACCTATAAATGGGATTAGTAAAAATTACGAATTTTTCAGAGAGCATGAATTTAGATGTCCTACCAATTACTAATTACTCTATAAAGAAGGAGCCTTAGTGAAACGTCATGTAATATTTTGTCGATAATTTATGCTAAATTACTATGAAACATCTAAAGTATGACCGCTCCAGTTCGGATATTATTCTAAAGGACTTCAGTATGTTTGAGTTAGATATTCTGGGCTCTAAAATGCTTCAGTTCTGATTCTTTTTTAAATCAATAACGCACTTTAGGTAACAATAATGTTATTCTTGCAATGTTTTGTTGTACTATTTAAACTTGGATTAATTTTAATTTGGTTATTTATTCTCTGAAGAAGTGACTTACACTATGTCACGAAACGTCAGAAAATCTAATTTTCTACTCATTGGGATATTACAAATATATTATTTTTATTTATAACAATCAACCCAATGCTCAATTTATTCGAAATTATCAAATCAAACCTTGGTAATGATACCTACAAATAATGTTTAGTTTAAATTAATAGGTATACGAATATTGTATTGGAGTGTAACCGTAAATTGAGTACTTTTTAATTCAACACACTATTATATACAATAGTTAGTGACATTCAACTTTGTCTTACGGTTTATAAAACTAATTTTACAAAATCATATTTCCTTTAAATTATATACTGGATGATCTGAAAATGATCTTTATTCAGGAAAACTAAATTGCCAATAATATAATCTGTTGTTACAAGTAAAATTTAAAGAAGAGCAACTGTGTGAGTTGTGTAATGCAAAAAGTATTATTTTGAATTAGATCTTCATATGACTTCACCGTTACACTTTCATAATTATGTGAAATAGTACTGAACCGGAGTAGTTTGTTTTTCATTTATAACAATCATATACATTACACATTTAATATTAACAGACAATAAGTAATGATTCGTGATTTATGCCAAGTTGCAGTTCCGAACATTATTATTGGGAAAGTATAAATTCTTGTGACCATGTTAATAAACGTTAGGATCAAAGGAATCAGTATTGAAATGAAAAAAATTATATATATATACTAATCAATCACCATCCGATAAACAAACTAATAAATTAGTTTCAAACGATCGAGTCACGTGGTTACCGTGCTTTTGATTAATAGTTAATAATTCTTGCATGCTAATAATTATTTTGGAACAACGACCTAGGGCAGGTTTTTGAGCACGTGAAAAAAATATTTGTAGCCTTCATTACCACAATGCATGTTTTATGTTCTGGCTTCACAATTAATCATTTTGGAACATTAGGAACTTATGTGTTATTTTACACATAATTTACCTCAACAATTACACACATTATATCTGATAATTATTTAAGTTCCAATTAAATTTTTCTGTTATTTCTTGGTACATAATATGGATCTCGGAGACAACACATTAAGCTATTGAATATCTCTTGAGTGGTGTAAATTAAACTGAAGGGTCAGAGAAATACAATATTCATGTGATATACTA